CAAGCTGTAGGCACAATTTTATTTGTGTTTCTACACGAGACTTTGCACCAGTCTGTGGAACTCCGAGAACACGTATTTGAAGCCTATAATTGTGATGAATTAGCAAATAATTTAGAACGAATAACATAATCATTGTCAAGAATATATATATATATATATATAAATATAAACTTGATCAGAACAAAACTAACCCTTTATCACTGATATCCTGCACCTGGCATTGTCGATCTGCTTGCGTTGATGAAATATTTTGTTCTCTTAGGGAAAAAAAAAATTTATTCCTTTTAGCATGTATACGAATAAAAATTTCTATAAGGATTTTTTAAAAAAATGCAATTTACATGTTGTTATCCGTTCCATTAATATATTCGAGATAATTTATTCCATTTGGAGCAAAATTCGGTATTCCTTGGGAAAACGAGGGCGACATAAACTGAATAAAAATAAAAATAAGTAATAATTATAAATAATAATAGCGAGATGTAAAGACAAGCTTTATTAATGATCGATAAAGTGCAATTACATTATTTATAGATTGTTGATGCATATCACCCAATGACGTAGAATTGAAGACTGTTTGGTGAAAATGAGAAACTTGCGGATCGTTTTGAGTAGCCGGGGGTTGCAACTCTCGAGTAGGTGTTTGCTGTGGAGTTAGAGTTATAAAAAACAAAGGTGTGTTCGAGTCAACGACCTCTAGTTTTGGATCCAATAAAGTTGGTGGGTTATCTTGAGATATGTCGTTTGTAGAAGAAAAATATAAATTGTTCATCGTAAAGTCATCCGATACCGAAGAGTACGGTGAGTCGCAAGCGTTATCTTCCGGGGAAGTTGGCATTTTTGCAAAGTTTTAACTATCTTTATTATATGGTACTTTGATGATGCATCTACGTAACAACTTAATATCATATAAATTTTTTTTTTTTTTTTTTTTCATGCAGTAACACCGAAATACTTATATAGCCGGCGAATGGGTATATATGTAAAAATGGAATTATATTTGGTAAGTTCTGCATATATATTGTTAAGTTAAGATTCTACGGAATGCCTTTTTGAGATTGTGGATGGTTACAACTAGTCACATGGTATCATATAGAAAGAATCAATACAAAGTTGGACGTCAACGTCAAATCTTAATATTATCTAATGTATGTACATATCGTGTGTTACTCATGGATTGTATTTAGGTTGTGATTGGAAAATCAGTCAAATTTTCTTTTTTTTTTTGTATTTTTCAAGCCAAGTTATGGATTGTAAAAGGTAAATTCGGTTTAATAGTAAAGAATGATTTGTTTTGTGTTAAAAATTATTCCTACGTAAGTACGTATTGTGCCTTTGTTAAACATATATAATAAAATAGGACTCATATACCACAAGATACCGTAGTCGTATCACGTAAATCAATATTTGGCCAATTCGATTATGTTGAACCCGATGAAATTAATATTAAAGAGAATATAGAAAAGAGGCTTTTTGAGAAGTTGCAAGAAGTTGTAACGATAGAAGGTAAAAAAACAATCCGTGATCCATGCTTATGTGAAATTACATTTCGTTTATTGACAGAATCTAGACGTCAACCGTAGGAATGATGATGATAATCAATATATGCAAGAAAATCAGCAGGATGTACGTACGTACGTTAAGATTTTCTCAGCACGTATTGGTACATATTAATTTACATAATTGTTCCCTAATATTGTTGATCTTATGATAACGATAATAGTGTTTCGCCTATTTGCACGTGATCCGCCTACAAAAATTTCTCTAGAATCTAATGAAATCAAAGACTATAACAAACAAGTTGGAATCGTTAAAGCGAAAGTTGATGAACTTAAAACTCAAAAGTATTTAATAATAATCATTGAATATCATTCATCGCATCTCATCTAATTCAATTAAGAATCCAAGTTTTTTATTTTAAGGAGTGAAGCAAAAAGGTTCGAACAAATTATCGATACAGTGATAACTTCGTCGGAAGTGATTATGCAATCAAAAATTCCATGGGAGCGTAATTTTGTACCACATAAAGTGTTACATGTACCATATGAAGATCTAAAAAAGTCACTTATAAAAAGGTCGAAAAGGTTAAGTAAAAAAAGAAGAGATGCCATAAAAAAAGGCAAGTCAGGACATATTGTCATTCAACTAACATTATAAATATTGGAGAATAATCTAATAATCTGTTTTTTATTTAATAATTAATTATTAAAACAAAAGGTACAACAAAGAATAAAACACATGGTGGAATTAGTCCCAGTTGGCCAAGAGGTGGCAAAGATGCTTATGGATGGAAATTAAACTGTAAAATTAAAATTAATTGCGAATCTAAAGTTTATAAACGAGAAATACATACTAAAAAAGGAATCGTGCGAAGATTTGAGCGAGTTGCATAGAATGGCATTGCTATTTCTAAAAGTATTTGTTTTCCTTAAGTATATATTTTACCAATTTTCTTCGATAACTTAATACATTAAAGATTGTCCTAAAATATAAATATATGTATTGGATTTAATAAAACGTATTAATGTATGTGGCACGTTTTACATACTTTAAGCATAGTGCTACAACATCAAAAAATTTAAAGCATCTTTATCATGAAGGAAAGATTTGCATAAATATCAATTAGCAGTAATCTTTTTTATGTTAGAAAGAATGCGCCTAAAATTATTCTCCAGAATAAAATCATATGAAAAAGTGTTATCATTAACTTTCTAATAAAATTATGTGCATACATACGTACGATATTTTACATGTAAGCAGTTACACATTGTAATTTTTTTACAGCAGTCTAGCAAATTACGGTTTAATATACGCCCAAAAAGATGTGCATCAAATATTAAATTTCGCATTTTAGACAGTTATTATTCTTAATCTATATAATTTACATTTCCTTTATAAATTGTATTCGGTTTGTCATTTCAATAATGGATATTATCAACGTTGATATTTGCTCGTTTTGTTTAGTAGCTAAAAATATTAAAATTTTAATTTGGTGCAGGGCCTACTGAACTGTGTGCGGTCATATGATTAGCAATTAACCAATCAAATTCTACTGTCCAAAGTATTAATAAAAAATATTTACATTATTAAAAACTATTTTTTAACGTTAATGATCAGTATCTGTCTGATATAAATATACGTATTTATTTTGATTTAGTGTAACAAAAAAAAGACACATTATGTTAGAATTAATAATTTTGCTTAAAATTATTTAATATTTTATTAATAAAGCAGTAGCCTACAAACTAAACAATTTATATATATAGATACGTAATAATTTTTTTATTATACATATACAGTCAAACCTCTCTATATATAGTCACGCCCTCGGTTCCAAGAAATTCTGTGCTTATAAGCAATTGTGCCTGTATAGAGGGCAAATTTCTTATGTTTTACATATATACAGTATATAATTTTGTTTTAAAAATTAGTGTGCTTATAAAGAAGGTATGACTATATAGAGAGTGACTATATGGAGGGCAGACTGTATATAATTTGTTAAAATTATTGTATTAGCCTAGTTTTAATAAACTTCAATTAAACTTTAATTAATTTGTTTTTTTATTTAATAATATATATTGTATTGTAATAATTTAGTTACTTGTTATATAGTATAATAATATATTCTATACTATATAAAGTTAGCATTTACTTAAAGTTGCAATTTTAAATACAGTATCTAAAATTATATATATTTGTTTAAAATTGCTAACTAATATTAATATATATGTTGTGCCTCAGATTAATGCTTGCGTCAGATGTCAACTTTTTGGCCCGCATTAACTGATCGATATTGATTGACTTAAATTAAGCCCAAATCCTTCCCAGATTCTTACCCTAACCCTAATCTAACTTAGGCCGGTTTTAATCTGACGCAAGAATTGATCTGAGGCACGACATATATATGCAAAATCATTAGAACCTAATTTTAGTTAATATAATTTTAATATTTAAAAAGTTTAATTTGAAACAATTACTAACTTCAAATAAAAAATTAATAAAATTATAAAAAATTAGAATAATATACTGTATATACTGTATATACAGTATGTAAAAATTTCTATTTGCACACTATGTGTATATATACATGGGTATGTTGATATCTCAAAATTCTGAATATAAAACAGCTCTTGGCGCTTTAGCAAAAAATATTTTTTTGTCAAATCTTAGCATAAACTATAATTTTTCCAACTCAAAACTAACCTTTACCCTAATCTTAAGCAGGATTGATTTTTATAATTCGTATGTACTACACGTACGTGAATTTGTAAATCAATATAAACACGTATTAATTTAAAATTTCTATACCGATACGTACTATTTATAGTATATTTTTTTTATAAAGAAAATTTATATACGTACAGTATTTACAGATTTTTACTGTAGTTATATTTATATTATTTACGTATAAAAAAATATTATATGGCGCACTTATGCATTGATGCATCTCTATTTGCAAATAAAACAAAATTAGGGCAAAGATAACGATGAGAATTAGGGTAAAAATTGCGAGAGGAGCATTTTTTAACAGGGTTACCCTAGTAAAACACACGTACGTATAACAGATAACTTAGATTATTATAATCTTATATATTATATATATACTGTATATATATATATATATATATATATTATATATATATATATATATATATATATATATATATATTATATATATA